GCTGAGGCGGAAGGATCGCCGGAGCCCAGCGGGTCGAGGCTGCGGTGGCCAGGAGCGGCAACTGCACTCCAGTCTGGGCGACAGAGTGAGACTCTAACTCAAAAAAAATAAAAAAACAAAGAAAGTGAGGGAGATATTTTCTCAACAACAAACTAAGCTAGACCCTAGAAACACAAAGAACCATCCATCTGCCCTTGACTTAGAGTCCAGGAGGAAAGGAACAAACAAACAAAATGATAATATCTCCAAGTACCAAATAACAAGTGTAAAAAGAACATACTATAAGAATACAAAGCAAGCGGCTCACCAATGACAAGGACAGTCAGAGAGGCCGTATGTAGGAGACAGGACTTGAACTGGGTGCTGGAGGATGGGCTTAGACCAGCAAGTGCATGCATGGTCAGGGCAAGAGACCAGAGGGGTAGGGAAATTCACACAGCACAACTAGAGAAGGGTGAAAAATCCAGGTCGTGGAGCCCTTTGTCCATATAGATGTATAATTTTTTTAGTTGGTCAATCAAATATAGATGCTCTTCTTTTTTCTTCTATTATTATTATTATTATTATTAGGCTCTTAGTCACTCTCTGTAAAGCAGTGAATAATACGGCTGTAAATGCAGGTGGCATTTATATCAGAGCCAGTCTTGAAAGGCATTTTAGAGTCAATGGAGGTGTCCGTTCTTGAGCTGCCAGGTGCAGTGGAGTGCTTCAGGGGTTAGGATAAGGGATGAACAGGGGAGAGACTGGACGGCAGAGATCATCCTGACATCTAGGGGAGGAAACACATGGAAGAAGCACAAACTTAGGAGTCAGACCTGTGCTTGAGTCCCAGATTGGCCCTTGCCAGCTGTCTGCCTCTGGGCAAGACTGAATCTTTCTGTGCTTCCGTTTTTCCACTTACAAAACAGAGACTCACTGTGAGGATCCATGTCCACAGCGCCCGCAGAGTGCACAGCTCTGTGGTTAGTAGGTTTACATTACCGCCAGCGCTTGCTGCAGTCCAGGCATGGGGAACAGAGGTTTTGACTAAGGGAGAGGCAGAGGGCAAACAGGAGAGACGTAAGCGAGTAGAACTTGATGAGTGTCTGATTGCTGGAGGAAATGAGGTGGAGGGGTTCAGCTCTGACTTAATAGAGATAGGAAACACATTGCCTCTAAAGTTCTCTTTTAGTTTTGTTTATTTTTTAGACTCAGGGTCTTGATACATTGCCTAGACTGGAGTGCAGTGGTGCGATTATAGCTCATGGCAGCCTCAAACTCCTGAGCTTCAGTGATCCTCTTGCCGCAGTCTCCCGAGTAGTTGGAATTACAAGCATGTACCACCATGTCTGGCTAATCTTATTTTGTATTTTTTGTAGAGATGGGGGTCTCACTATGTTGCGAGGCTGGTCTTGAACTCCTGGACTCAGGAGATCCTCCCACTTCCATCTTCCAAAGTGCTGGGATTAGAGGCATGAGTTATCGCATCTAGGCTAAAGCCCTGCTTAGCTTTAAATTTACACAATTCAAAGATGACTCTAGGTCAGAGTTTAGGAACAAATGTCAGGGCTTGGAAGAAAGTCCGCAGAGATGACGGCCTCAGGTAGCTGATGGCAAGACTCGAGCATCACTCCTCAGGCACACACCAGCCCACCTAGAAGCAGGCCCTACCTCCCCCCCTTCCCGTGGTCTGCCTTTTGGGGCCCTTCTCTGAACAAGGCACCCTGTCACTCATAGGGATGATCCAGGCTGTGGCCGGATTCTTCACTTACTTTGTGATCCTAGCCGAGAACGGGTTCAGGCCTGTGGATCTGCTGGGCATCCGCCTCAAGTGGGACAACAGATTTGTGAATGACCTGGAGGACAGCTATGGACAGCAGTGGGTGAGTGGTTTGTGGCCAGTAAGAGTGAAGGCACGACAGAGAAGAGGGTGTTTAACACGATTTTGAAGAGGGGAAAGGGAACACACCGGACAGAGCAGAGGCTTCACCTCCTGTCCTGTAGAAGCGTCCTAACACCCGACCTCAGGCTCCAGTCACGCCAGCAAAGATTCCTCTCTGTTTGCAGCAACCTCACTTCTGTGGACTCCCGCGGTCTGCTGTCTGTTCTCGCCTCCCGGGATCCCTGGGCTCCCTGGGACCCGGCGTTCAACCTTTTCATAGCAACTTTTCTGGGCCGACTTCCATTTTTCCAGGTTTTAGCCACAGAAGTAAATGCTGAGTCTTCTCTTATGTTACACTCCCTCCCCCCCACCCAAGGATATCATGATTTAAACTCTGAAAACCTGTTTCCTTGTATATCCCTTCAGCATTCCAAACTTCTGAAACCAAGAGGGTGCCTTCCCAGAGTAGTCTTTCCTCTTGTTCGAGATGAAAGAAGCCCAGACTGGGCTTCCCCCAACAATATGTGCTCGAGAATTTTAGTCAGTGTGCTTCCTCTGTGTCCATGAAGACTCATCTCAATTTCTGAGATGACGGGGCAGGTGACACCCACTACTAGAATTATGGAATTGCTAGAATTATAGAATCATGGAGGGCACATAGTCAAGTATCATCATTCTATAAACAAGGAAGCTGAGTCTAGAAAGACTTAATGACTTGCTCAAGGCCCCACAGTGACTCCCTAGAAGAGCTGGGCTAGGATTGTGGCCTCTTTTCTCCTGCCCAGCGCTTTCTCACTTCACCATGATGTCTGCAAGCCAAGCTCATCATAGGTTTCTCAAGAGTGTGTTCAAATCGGAGTGGCGGGAAAGCTGTCCCCATACACGTTTGGCTTCTGCTAGCTGAGCCTCCAGGATCCAAGGATGCCCCCAATTTTTACTGCCATGTACCCTGCCAACAACTCCTCAGCCCTCAACTCGAGCCCTTGTTAGTTGCACATCCTGATACCTCCTTCCTGCTGCCAAGATGCTGCATGACGTATAATTTATAATAAATTAAAGGTAATTAAAAGCACTTTGAGGAAACAAGTTAAGAATCCCCTGAACCCCAAAGACATCCTGAGGTCTCACAAAAGTGTGCTGAGTTGCCCTGAGGAATGAACTCCATAGAGACGGGGCCCATGTCTCTTCCACGACTGTAATTTTCAGATAATCTAGTAAAGAGCCACTCACCAAGAAGTAAAGAGAGCTCATACCTCCTAAATATCTTTCCCCCATAATTCCATTGCTTCTCACTCATTCATCCGTTCAGCAAATATATATTGGGCATCTTCTATGTCCCAGATACTGTTCTAGGACCTGGGGAAACGGTAGTGAACCAAAATAACCAAGTTACTTCTCTCTCAGAACCTATTTCTAGTTAGGGATGGAGAGTGGGAAGGGAGACAGATAATAACCAAATGCATAATATATGGCATCAAAGGATAGTAAGTCTAAGGGAGTCCAAGGAGTGTTGGAACTGATATATTAGAGTGAGATGGAAGAATAAAAATGGAGGTCAGAGCCGGGCTCGATGGCTCAGCCTGTAATCCCACACTTTGGGAGGCTGAGGTGAGTGGATTGCCTGAGCCCGCAGGTTCGAGACTCACCTGGGCAACTTGGCAAGACCTCATCTCTACAATAAATAAAAAAATTAGCCGGGCGTGGTAGCATGCTCCTGTAGTTCCAGCTACTTGGAAGGTTGAGGCGGAAGGATCGCCGGACACCAGCAGGTTGAGGTTGTGGTGGCCGGGAGTGTGCCACTGCACTCCAGCCTGGGTGACAGAGTGAGACTCCAACTCAAAAAAAAAAAAAAAAATGGAGGTCAGAGAGAAGAGAGAGAGATGCTTAACACTGAAATTACAGAGAAAGTGCAGGTATTGGAAAGGATAGAGAGCAAGTGGGGGTGAGAGGGAGTGGAGGACAGTGTCACTGGTGGAGACAGAGATCGAAGAACCAATCTCTGTATATTTATTTATTCATGGTCTCTGTGGGACCATGGTCTTGGAAGGATCATCAGCATGGATATTTAAGTCTCCAAAAAGGCCTGGTCTGGTGGCTCATGCCTTTGGGAGGCTGAGGTGAGAGGATTACCTGCCAAGGATTGGAGACCATCCTGGGCAACTTGGTGAGACCTCATCTCTACAATAAATCAAAAAATTAGCCGAGTGTGGTAGCGCGCACCTGTAGTTCCAGCTACTTGGAAGACTGAGGCGGAAGGATCGCCGGAGCCCAACAGGTCGAGGCTGTGGGTGGTGGCCGGGAGTGGCCACTGTACTCCAGTCTGGGCGACTGAGGGAGACTCCAACTCAAAAAAAAAAAAATCTCCCAAAACAAGGACAGGACAGTGGTAGAGCAACGGTGAGTCAGAAGCTAAGATCTTCAGAAATGCCAGAGAGTGACACAGGTGACAGCAGCTGACTGAAAGGAAGGACAGCGGTGGGACCATCTGATGCCCACGAACACGCTAAAGGATCTTATTCTAAGGTGCATGCTCAGCTGTGCGGTTTTCAGCCTTTGTTTCCTAATCATTGAAGGCTCTGTATTTCTCTCCAAGTACTACTTTGACTGTATCCTATGAGATCTGATATGTAGTATTTCATTAGTGTACAGTCCTACACTTTTCAAATGTATTCAACCTACAAGCTATTTATAAGCACACTGTTTTAGTATTTAAAACCTAAGCTCTTTTCTCCAGTCTAATTTAAATGCACCTCATCTGTGTTCCTGTAGCTCTCTGAGATCTCTCTTTTATATTTATTTATTGTGTGGACATAGTGTACTTATTGTCCCCACTAGATTCTAAGCTCCTTAAATGAGAAAGATCGAATGAATGAATGCATGTCTCCAATCCGGTACCCCTCTTCGGGGCATTTCTTGCTCTCCATAGTCTACTGCCCCGTAGCCCACCTTCCTCTCTGACCTGTGTCCTCTGACTCTGGCTGCATAACCCCCCTTCTCTCCTACCCCACCCTTCTTATCAACTGAGTGAATATGTATTGAGCCATGCTACATGCTGTTCACTGGACCAAGCATAGGAGTGGACACAAAGATAACCAAGACAAGATCCTTGTCCTTGAAGGGCTCTCAGTCAGGTGAGGGAAGCACACACACAGATCATAAGACATGAAAAGTGCTAAAACAGAGACGCATATGAAGCACTGAGGGGTCTTGGGAGGAGGGCCTGGCCCAGCCCAGGGGTCTGGAAGGTCGGGGAGGAAAGGAGATTTAAGGTGCATGGAAACCCCTCCTGACACTGCTGCCTCCTCTCTGCCGCTCCCCGCCAGACCTACGAGCAGAGGAAGGTGGTGGAGTTCACATGCCACACAGCCTTCTTCGTCAGCATCGTGCTTGTGCAGTGGGCCGACCTCATCAGCTGCAAGACCCGGCGCAACTCCGTCTTCCAGCAGGGCATGAAGTGAGTGCCCGCCCACAGGGATGTGTCGTCCCTCCCGCCTTCTCCTCTTCTCCTCCATCACACCCACAAACGTGTCTTCCCAGAAACAAGGTCCTAATATTTGGGATCGTGGAGGAAACGTTGCTGGCTGCATTCCTATCCTACACTCCAGGCATGGACCGGGCCCTGCGGACGTACCCACTCAAGTGAGTGAGGGAAGGGCCGCACATGGGGTGTTCACCAGGCCCGGGGGTCCTGCACAGGAAGCGTGTGTCCAAACAGGACAGGAACGAGATAGGGGCTGCCTGGTTAGGCTGCTCTCAGTGGCACAGAGAGTGTCGCCTGGGCCCTGATAAGTGGATCTTGTTTAGGGAGGTATTAGACACTGTGCCAAGTGGTCACAGCCCACTAGACATGCACATTTAGCAGACTCAGTTAGCAGTGTTTAACAGAGTGGAATCTTTTTCATGACAATGAGTGGTATCACTGTCCAAGGATACATATTGCTTGGAGATGAGGTAACTGTAAAAAATAGCCTAATTTATGCTTAGCCAATTCTGCTGTACTTATGCAAATATATTTTAATGTATATGGGTGTGAGTGAGCCTACTGAAATTCTTATTGTCTGGTACCTTGCCTTATTCAACGCCAGGCTTTTGTTTTGTTTTGCCTTGCTTTATTGGTCTATGCTTGTTGTGAAACAAACTCCTACTTTAAAAATTTACAGAGAAAAAAGCCCAAGTCCCTTTCCACTCCCACTCCCACCCCCACTGTTCCCCCTCTCCCCAAGTTGCCTAGGTAGCCTGTTAATGACGTAGCATGCATTTCTTCAACTTGTCTATGCATTTACATACTCTGTTCACCTTTCCATCCTTGCAGTGTTTTGCATGAGGCTTGACACAGTGTCAGTGCTCAGTTCATGTTGAACAGGAGACATTGGCACTGGCCTTAGATACTGACAGTCCTAGGTGGGAATCTCAACTCTACTAGGCATTATTCTGTGACTTTGGACAAGCATGTAACCATTCTGAGCCTCAGCTTTACCTGTAAAGTCTCAATAGCATCCTCCGGGTGTGGAACTGGCAGAATGTTATGAGATTCACACAGAGAAATGAGCATAAACTACAATACCGAGCATGTTTGAATCATGGTGGACATTTTGATTGCAGCTTTATTCCTGTTGCTATTAATGCCATTACAGAAGTCACAACAAATGTAGTTAAGCATTATCTGTGGTCCCAAATACTCTGTGTATACCTCGACCTCGACCATAAACCTTAGCACCTAATATTGTGATTGTGTGTGTGTGTGTGTGTGTGTGTGTGTGTGTGTGTGTGTGAGAGAGAGAGAGAGAGAGAGAGAGAGAGAGAGAGAGAGAGTTTACCCTCCTTTGTTTGGGTTATCTGAGCTCCCTGAGATCAGACCATCAAGTAATCATTTTTATTTCCCCCCAATACCTCACACAGACACAGAGTGCAATACAGTGATTGTTTGTGGACTATATGAGTGACGTCTATGTTTGGGGTATTGTATTTGTGTGTGTGTAGAGAATAAACCACAGCCCAGGCCTGCACTGTCCAACATGGTAGCCACTAACAGATGTGGCTATTGTGCTCTTGGGATATGACTGGGGAGCCGGATTTGTAATTTTATTTTATTTTGATTGATTTAAAGTTAAAAATGAAAGTAATATGAAGTGTTTCTCTATGATTACAACTGCACTGTTTTGGTTGGGCTACATCTCCCTTTAGCCATTGAAAATTTAGTGTCTGAGTAAGACAGGCTGTCAGTGAAAAATACTCACTGACTTTCTAAGACTTAAGACAAAAAGAAGAATGTAAAATATCTCATTAATAATGTTTACGTTGGCCAGGCTTGGTGGCTCAGTCTGTAATCCCAGCACTTTGGGAGTCCGAGGCAAGTGGATTGCCTGAACCCATGGGTTTGAGACCTGCCTGGGCAACTTGGCAAGACCTCATCTTTACAATAAATCAAAAATTAGCTGGGCGTGGTAGCACGCGCCTATAGTTCCAGCTACTTGGAAGGCTGAAGAGGAAGGATTGCCGGAACCCAGCAGGTCTAGGCTGTGGTGGCCGGGAGTGTGCTGCTGCACTCCAGTCTGGGTGACAGTGAGACTCCAACTCAAAAATTAATTAATTAATTAATAATAATAATAATGCTTACGTTGATTACCTGTTGAAATTAATAGTGTTCCAGACATACTGGATTGAATACAATTATTATTAAAATTAATTTCTTCTCTTTCTTGCACTTATTTTAATGGGGTTTACTAGAACATTTTAAGTTCCACGTGGGGCTTGCACTCTGTTTCTATTGGACAGTGCTGGACTAGGCCACCTCTTCCCTCTGTCAAGGGAACACCTTAGCCCTCTCTCCAGAACGCCCAAGGAAACACCTCAGCCCTCTCTCCAGAACTCGTCTTCCTGGTCTCTAATCATAGGAGAGGTTCAGGAAGAAAAGACTGTCCCCATCCTTGCGATACAGAAGAGTACGTGTATGGTTCTGTATCCCGCAGAGTATCCCAGACTAGGCGTGCAGGGGCTGTCTCCGATAGACGCTTCCTGCTCAGACGACCTCCCCTGTGGTGCCAGGACTAGGGTATGCAGGAGGCAAAGGGGGTCTTCCCAGCGACTCCACAGGAGTCGGGAGATGATCACCTGAACACAGTACATACCTCTGATGTGACTTTTCTTACAGCATCCTTGGTTTTTTATGTTGGTGTCCCGTGCCCTTCTCTCCAGCCCCAGCCCCTCACCCTGCAGGTTCTGACCTTCTCAGAGGTGGGGGTCCACTGCCTCTCACTCCACTCCCTCCACCCCACCCCACCCCCCAGTCTCTAGCACCAGCCCAGTACCAGACACATATGGACACAATAAACGAAACACAATTCCATCTTCTCCGGTCCCGTGTCTCCTGCCAAGCTGACTGACTCTTACTCTCTGCAGGATAGCCTGGTGGTTCTGTGTCACTCCCTACAGCATTCTTATCTTCGTCTATGATGAAATCAGGAAACTCATCATCCGTCAACGGCCAGGTGGTGAGGCTCCCTGGGCCCTGCTCTGCTTGAGTGGCCACCAGTCCCCTCACCAGCTCTCCCATCCTGCCTGGCTCCTCCAGACCCGCTGACCTCTTCCCACCTTGTTGCCGGGCCTTTGCTGTGCCTGGACCCTGGCCCTCCACCCCTCCAGTGCATCACCCTGCTCCATCTGATTCCCGGTGCCCCGTGTCCCTCAGGCTCCTAACCTTGTCCCTGCTTCCCTTCCGCCTGTCCCCTTGATGCTTCCCCTGCTGCATCCTCCCAGTTCACGCAGGTCTCTTCTCTCCCACAGGCTGGCTGGAGAGGGAGACGTACTACTAAACTCAACAGGAGAAGCACTTCACGTGGCAGGGGTGTCCTGAGTGCTGGGTGGGTTAGGGGATTACGAGGGTAACACAACATCTAAGAGAGGCATGAGGACAAACTACCTGGGATGAGAAGCAGGCACTCCTGAGGCTGGACCGAGGCGTCAGCGGCAGAAGGTGAGGTGGGTCGACAGGGGCCCAGCCTGTGTCTGGCTGAAGCCCAGGAAGGAGGGCCGTGGTCTTGCCGAATCCAGTAGCCAGTCTAGAGAGTAAACGTTGGAAGAGCTCTCACCCAGCCAATGCGTCTCGTCTGATTTGAGGAATCAGGGATTCCTGTGAAGCTTACTCCCTGAACCTCTATGACAACCAGGTATCAAGGCCAGGAAGGCACCAGAATCAAGCACCCTTGCTCCTTAGGACTGTTCCCCATCCTAAAGTCACTCTCTGATCCACTGGACAGCAAGGACAGGACAAATGACTGCCCTCAGAGTCCAGCTGGGATCAGAGAAACAGAAGGGGACGAGAGAGAAGCGTCCGAGCCACCCCTGGGGAAGGGCCACAGCCTCTACTTGGGGGCGGGCTGGAGTTCCTCAGTCCGGTTCACAGACCGTATAGATTTGCCATGCTAGAAGGGACCTGACTCCTTCGTGAAGAACCTGAGGCCCAGAGAGGTTAGATGACCTGGGAACAGTCCCACGGTGAGAGGTGTCCCTCATCTGAGGAAGGGACAGGTAGGTGGGAAGGACTCAAGGCCGTCATCAGGGCACCATGACTCCTGTTTGCTCTGGTGTAGCCTTGAAATTGAGGCTGTAATGATGCTTCTGAGTCTCTGCAGCCTTGACTTTAGGTGTGGCACCTGACCCTACTCTACAGGGAATGATGAATGTTCCCAAAAGCTTGTCCTCTGAGCCTGGGCCCAGGCTCCTCCTCAGCTGAGTGAGGAGCCAAGGAGCCTCTCTCTCCTGTCCGCCTGGTCTTGGTGGGTCTTTCTTCTCCTTCACTCCCTATTTCACTCTTGCCTAGTGACGCCCCTCCCCCACTTTGCCTTGTGGATCAGTTCATTCTCAGGCCTCTTTCAGGGCAGAGGGTTGGCTGTGCCCAGAAGTATCCAGAGCAAGAAAAAAAATGTGAAAGAAGGTTAGGAGGAATCACCAGCTGATACCAGAACCAAAACACATGTCCCAAGTGACCGAACAAGGGCTCAGACAGACCATCAATGAACTCACACAAGTGTTTTCCTCCCACCCCACCCATCTTCAGAGAGGAAGAAACCAAGGTCCATCTGATTCCAGAACTTGTGCCCCTAACTGCTTTTCAGACTAATCTCTCAATGAGGGCTGGACCAGAAACACACAAACACACAGCAACAAAACAAGACCAAAAACAGGCTCGTAACGGAAGCAGGACCGTGGCCAAGTCTAGAGGAGGGGTGGCCATGGCTAGCAAGAAGACCACCACGAGGGACAGCCAGTCGCCCTTCCCTACCTCGGGCCCCTCCTCAGAGGTCTCTCTCCCTCCTGTCCCCTCCCGCTTCCAATACAAGGTCTCCTAGGGACACTGCTCTATCAGTCTGGGGTCCTCCCCTGGTTGCTGACATGGCTGAACCAGACCCTGGAAGCTCGAGGGGCCGGGGTGTGGAGTGAGGTGGGAAGGGGGAGCACCGAGGGGCCAGCGCCTCAGGTTTCAGCAGCAGGAGCTTCGGGTGTCTGGTGGGTTAAAAATACAGAGGCCCCAACTCAGGGTCATTTGACACCAGTGGCTGAGGCTTGTTAAGTCCAAGGGCCTGAAGGGAAGAGAACTAAGTGGAAAGTGGAGAACGAAGTTTCAGGGAGAGAAGGGTGGGAGTGGGTGCTGGGAAGGGCAAGCGGGCCTGGCGCCAGGGAGCAGCAAGAGGGAGCCCGTGGGTGACAAGGCCTGGTGGCTGCAGGGAAGGACAAGGGGATGAAGCCAGCCTGGGTCACCAGAATCCGTCCCACCTCGCACCCCTTAGGGGGACAACAGGCAGATTCATGATGGAACGCATCTAACGTCCCTGTGTCTCTGTCCAAGTTTCTCCCTCCACCGAATGTAGCCAAAGTGAGCAACTGGACTGGGCATTCTCCGGGTCACCTGCCCCTGGGCCTGCCCACCTCGCCCAGCTGTCTGTGCTCTGCCTGGGGATCTAGGCACATTAGTCACTCTCTGAGAGACCTGGAGACTGGCTTCTGCGGTCTCTTCGGCTCTGACGTGCCCTGCTCAGACTGGTCCTGGTCTCTCCGGCTGCAGTGACAGCTGTCCCTCCTGGACACACTCCTCTCATGTTCCTGGGATTGTCTGTGGCCTTCCTTGCTTAGCTGTGTAAGGTCTAACCCAGAGGCGTGTGGAAAGCTATTCTGCTAACTGAATTCCAAACCCCTCCCTAGATGCGAAATAAACACTGTCCCTCCAGAATCAGAGCTACCTCGGGCCTGTCTGTGGCATCTGGCTTTGATCTAATCTCCATGCGCTTCCTCCTGCCTCAGTTTACCTGTGCATAGTAGGAGTCCTGAAGGGCCACAAAGAGGGTCCCTTCCTCCCTAGTTATCCAAACCAGAGCTTACCCACCCTGTCCTTACCTCCAAGCTGAGATCCAGAAACTAAAGCCCCACCTCCCCAACTCTGCTTTGGATCTCAGGTGCACAGGATGGATCAACCTTCTTGGTTCAGGGCACAGGGCCACCTCTTCGTGTTAACTTTTCCTCCTCGTGTTTATACCTGCTCCTCTCTGTCTTGTCAAAGACCAAGGAATAAACAGTAGGTCTTCACTCCCCTGACAACCATGCAGCCAGGGAATCCTCCCTTCCCACCATGTCCTGGAAAACCCAGTCCTATAGGATCAGGGTAGAGAGCACACATCTCAAGTGGCCTCCAAATGACAGTCCCCTTCTCCTGTGAGTTTGATGGGCAGAGAAACCCCAAGTCCACATCTCCACAGAGAGGGCCTGGACCAGCCCTGTCCTTCCCTGCATTCCTGAGCTAGGAGTGTTGAGTGAAGCAAAGGAAACTTGCTGGGGCTGGGCCGGGTGGCCAGCCTTGGGCATGACTCCACCTTCTGTTCAGAGGATGACCTCATCCTTGGTCCTAAGTCTTTAAAGGAAAACGAAGGGGGTCTCTCTCCTGCAGTCGAATTGCACTTTCATCGCCCCCTCTCTCCTCCATAGGATCAGAGACACAGACTTCACCTGTGGAGATTCCCAGGCTTTAGGTCTAACCTGGGACAAGGCCGCATTGTCCCCCTTTGGTCCTGTATCATCGACTTAGCCTCAGACCCAGATGCCGCCTCCTCTCCACCACATTTAACTTCTAACTACCCTTGCCCCACCCTCTGCTCGCTCTAGTTACCCCTCCCCCTC